TGGAGAGAGGGAAGTCTGGGCATCTTTGCTTAGACTGCTGCCCCCGCGACCCAGTCCCGGATAAGCGGAGGAAAATGAATGAATGAATGAATAGCCAACACCTATCAATCGATCGATAAACAGTCAATTATTTTTACAGAAAATCCACTGTGGTATTAATATCACAATAGAAAATTGTATTACGTCTAAATCAGTGGATGAATGACAGAACATTAGCACATGGTTCATTGTCTACCCAGACATAAAGTCACTTACTAACTCATACACCTGGACAACATAGTGACATGCAGTACGACAGCCCTATCTGCACCACGCTGTGAGAGCGTCAACCACGTAATATTGCTTCTTTTTAACCACTATAGGTTTTCATTGCTGTGTTCCCTCTGTTTTCATTTTTAAGCAGCCTGTCTACCAGCTCAGGCTGCCCCTGACTGATAACAGCCTCGTCAATCAGGCTTATTTTCCTTCTCTGACCCTCCGAGACTGATGCTCATATACAGTCGTGAAAGGGGAGGGTGAAGCTCTGCTCTCTACCCATCCCCCTCCTTCATCCTGGCTGCTATATCCACTGCTGCAGAGAGGACCCATGATGGCGCTGCCCTCCCTCTCTGCCCCCACCACCTCCACCACTCTAATACAAACCACACTATAGCACTGGGCTAACTGTCATTCATCAATCCAAAAATCTGGTCCAAGTCCACACCAAGGCTGGCTGATAATTCAACAGTACTAGTGAATGAATATGGTATAATCATGTCATGGTACTGATTTACACAACTCCAGTGTTAAAACCAATGACTCCAAGGACATTCATTAAAATGTTAATAAAGTTTTAAGTTGATATGTGTCAAGGTTTTTTAATAACAGTGAAACAGTCCAGTGTATTGCACATAAATCTGATCACTGTATATATAAACTTGTTTACAGTATGTAGGATATTACTATTATATTATTATATAATACTATATTGTACTGTGGTTTCAAAGTGATTTTACATTTTGATGTTTGCAGCAATCGGTGGTGGCTTTGTCTCAACTCCTGCTCCATGTGGGAGGTCTGATTCCCAGCCAAAGCACAAACCTTTTCACCCTCATGTAAGACGTGCAAAGATCCAGCGATCTTGCTGCCAGAGAATGTGAATTTACAACGGAGCGACCGTGTGGTTGTGAACTGGAGAAACCAAATCACTAAGCTGAACAACAGATACTGTAAGTGTTGCCCAAGACAGTTATGTAAGACGTGCAAAGATCCAGCGATCCAGGAAATGACAGGAAACATTCGTGGTACACTAGATAGAGTAACTGACTTCACGTGATGTGGCCTATGCGTCTTTACTACACAGGCCTGTCTGACATTACAGGACCACCACTTGTACCCAGTTGCATTTGCTGAGCAGAATCGACTTGTGTCTCCATGTTCAGGCCTGCATCAGCAACTCACACCGAAACTACTTGAGCGTCGGCTGAAACAAACGAGTCTAAATGACAAAATCTGATACTGATCAGTCGAGTCTACACCGTCCTACAGGATTACACATTGGGTTTGATCGGTGGCTAATGATGATCGATCTTATGTCCAGATTCTGTGGAATTTCTCGGGTAGCGGCCTTTTTTAGGCAACTTTCTCGCCTGGGACACAATGCGCCATTCATGTGAAACAGAGGGCTTCAGCTCTGAAGCGCTCCGGCTGAGAAAGGGTGTTTTACGCAACGGATTCGTGCTCCATCGGTGGGGTGAGGCACTGCTGAGATCAGGGAATCCCACGGATGGGGAGTGTTATAACTAACAGCACTGCAATACATTATTTTCTGTAATTAGCCAGCCAAGAAGCAACTGTCTGCAGCATCTTCTTGCCTAACATTCGTGAAAACTCGTTTGTGATACCGTTCAAACGCCGCGCAGATTACTCCTGACATAAACGGTGATTGAGGCTAAAAGGGCGTACGTGGGCTATATTTGCCTCCAGGCTTTCCGCATCCTTGTCGAAAAGGATGGCTACACCTTCTATCAGTGGGCTAATCACCTCTTGTTAAAGCCATTTTCAAATCTCCGCCACATGAAATACAACTGCGCGTCTGCCCCACAGGAGCCCGGTGAGACGAACAGCCTCTGCAGCTTATCCACAGCTCCATCACCACACGGCTGTGCTTTATAATACAATACGATGGAGCATCAACAGCACCATCTTCATCATCACCACCATCACCTACATGAACTAGCAGCCATCCGCAAGCTGCAAAAACACACAACCTGCCGCAGTTGCACAGAGCGCAGAGGAGGATCTCTTTCAATTTCTAGGACAAATTTATAACAAGAAGAAAAAGTCTTATCTTACTTTCGCCGACCACCGCCTTTAATCCGATGGGTGCCATGATGCTGCTGAGTGTTAGACCGATTGATCACCCTCTGATGACTCCCTCCTCTCTGCGTTCACCTCGCATCATGCGGAGGAGCCTCCGCTTGGAAACGTCACTGCGTATCCCTCCGCATCTGCCCCTTATCGGCGGGGGGGGCCGGCATCTGAAGCCTAGCAGTTATTTACTACCGCTGTTCTGGATTAGCATAATCAATGCATTTCACTGACAACCTATTCCTTGTTCTTAAAACATTATCAGCATTTACCAAACACAAGAAAAACAATCTGAGACACCGAGACGGTTACAGCGACTGTTATTCGTGTCCTCTGGCATTTAAAGTTATTAGTCATATTTCTTCAGTCCTAAGCCATAACAAAGCCTGCATTTATGATGTCTGAATAATAAAATGGTAGGGATTTAATGGGTGGAGATAAAGCTGGAGCTTGTTTTAATCACCTCTAGTCAACAAACTCAGAAGTCCGTTTCCAGAACCCAGTGTTTGGTCTTCAAAGAGAGTGTGTTGGTGGCTTTTACATGGAATTGGACTGTCAGTGAAACTAATGTATGTTTTCCCATTCAAGGCAGAGATACTTCACACCTATCTGCTGTGTCATCATAACTTATTATCTAAAGAAGGGGGGAAATAAGTGAATTTGTATTACAGGTGGTCTGTGAGCACGGTGCGTGCAGTTGCCTGCAGTGGACACAGGCGCGTTTCAGTATTAGACAGTGAAGAAACTCTCTTTCCACAAGGGGGCAGAAGGTATCTTTATGTAGGAAACGCCAACACTGGGCATCATGGAAAAACTTTATCCACTCACAGGCCAGAACCACTAGAAGTCAGCTCACTTTGGCCTCCCAGTAATTAAAGTTCAGTGAATTAAATGAACAGTGGGAACGCATTTCAAAATAGGCCAGGTCGTTAAAGGAATGATTTTTCAACACATCAAATTGGTGTTTTAAACGTTAATAAGTTTCACATTTAACGCCAAATAAACTGCACAGAGAACAACAGAGCTGCCGCACACAGTGCGCAGTGAGGCTCCTGGTTCTGGCCACACCCTTGGCAGGGCCGACTGAACACGTTGGACCAGTGATGACTTCCAGAGGGTGCGTCCTACCACTGTGAGCCAGACCTGTGTTCACCTCCTACACACTGGTGGGGAGTTGTCACCTCGCCTCAGTCCTTCTCCTCTTCCTCCGGTAAACAGAGAGGGACAGAGGACACGGAGCAGCGCCAGATCCGCGTTGACGCTTTTCCTCTAGCGACTCTGCTCGGATATTTAAGACTGCTGGAAATATCACCAGGGCCTCTTTTTTTTTAACCTGGAGAACTTGTAACGAACTCAGACATTTTAAAGATCTGTTAGGCTTTCTTGTAACCATGGGGGACGTGGTTTCCTCTCACCTGGATGAGAGGAGGCGGGAGATGATTACAGGTAAGAAGCGTCTGAGCTGCCACTGAAGGTGAAACAGACCATTTCTAGACTGAAGTTGTTTAGAAGTCGTTTTATTCACATCCACAACAGCGCTGGAATTTTCATAAACGTTTGTAACAACTTTATTGAGTTATTATATCCTCCAGGATATAGGTATAATCACACTGCTACTGCAGAGTAGCCTACATGACTTGGCTTTCTGTATTTACTTTTTACAGATTATCTACAGGTCCTTAAAGTCTTAAATTCATTTTCCCAAATACCCAGTCTGAGAAGTGATCAAACTGTGATTTTTTAAATTCTTTTTGAGAACCTTGTGCTTATGTGTTTGAGATCAATCGCTGAAGTGACACCTGAAGACAGCTTTTCCTTTTCATGGTGCTGGCAATGAGCTGATTCCTCATACAAAGTGTCACACTCTCTCTGCTTCATTCCAGGACAAAGCTTTTCATTTATACCAGTGCACTGTTGCTTTACTCCACTCAGAGAGTCCCAACTGTGCTGCAGACCTATTTCTCAGAGATAATAACTAGGTTTCCCAAAGGGGAGTATGTTTGTATAAGCTTGGGGCTGACTGCTATTTAAGTCCTGGATTGCTCCAGCCTGCCGCTGTGACTCGTGCGGGTCTGTGGGACTGTTTAAGAAAGGCATGAGAGCAGAGGGAAGCAGAGGAGCAGTACAGAGGCTGAAAACAGAAAAGTTTGTTTTCTTTAGGAAATCAGTTTAAAATTGCAATTATGGTGGTGAAGAAGATGAAGGTGAAGAAACAGAGGAGGGGAGAGGAGGAGGGAGATGAGATGGTAACAAGTGAAGCTGCAGAGATGAAGCAAGTAGAAACATGTCACATGATCAACAGCTGAAGGTTCTGACTGTCACACATCCTCCCTCCGCGTCACTGTACCCACCTCTCTGTAGATCACCTGTGGTCTTCTCTGCATCTATGTAAGCATGAACAGATGTGTAGCAAGTTACAAGTGGATAATAGTGTTGCTTTGAAGAGTGTACGTTTGTGTGTGCATGGGTGGGTGTGTATGTTTATGTGCGTGTGTGTGAGGCTTAGTCAGCGTTTCATCATCAGGAGTCTTGTTTGGAGTGTGAACTTCCAGCAAAGGTTTTTCTTTCATCCTCGCTGCTTAATCACATTCTCACAAAACGATCTCCTCCCTCATGAGACACAATAAGCAAACACACTCACAGTATACACATATCAAAATGCAAATCATAACTGTGTGGTCTTATTATAATAAGACATGAGTTTAAAGAGTGCTGAGAGAACAGTGGGAGCCTTTGGCCCATCCTGACCCATTCCTAATGTGGACACTTAGTGCCTCATATTAGGGGCCAGACAAAGAGTCTTTAAGCAAATCTGAAAGTTAACCTGGCTTGGAAACAATTCCTCAGGTATTCATAATGTGCCTTCTTTCTATGTGATTTAAACGAAATGAAAATGACTGATCTGTAGGATGATGTGACTTTTTTCAATACAATTTCATGCATGATATAGTGTGTACGTTTCGATTCAGTCACGATACAACAAAAAAAAAAAAATCTATGACAACAATGTATGACTAGCTGTGGAATAATTTTACTTTATTCCTTTTCCCCCGTTCTGGCTTGATTATAAAGCGAGCAACCAGATATATTGACTTATGTTCTATTAGGCTATCTAATTTACAAAAACCATGAAGTTACTGATGTATGGGACCACATGATATATGTCGCTAGATAAAATGATACATATTGAGATGCTTTTGTATTGTGATATATTGAATTTTAATATATTGGAGCTTATATTAATAGGTTTTCTCAACAGCTTTGACTTATCAGTTTAGCAGAATTAACAGCGAAGTCACAGTGTTGTAAAGTGGTGACATTTTTGTTTTTTTTTACTGAAATATCTCAACAAGTACTTGGTGCACTGTAAACATTTATTTGGTATACATCCCCATTACAGTGTAATGACATGACCCCTGCTTAATCGTTATCTAATTTTAAGCTAGTTTGTAATCACATGAGAAAAATTCACCTTTAGGAACTGCTCCTTTTCACACCTGTTGCCTGTTGTCAAGCCTCTGGATCCCTTCTATGGGTTGACTATGTTGGCATGAATCTGGGATTTCAGGTATTTGTCAGTTAAGGTGGGGGAACCGTCTCACTGATAGAGTGTTTTGATAAGTCGGTTTTCTCCATTGTACACCAAAAGCAAACAGAAAACAAGTGGCTGTTAGATGGAGGAATATAAAACATTCAGGCATGCCTGTACAGGTCGAAACAGACGATTCAGTGTGTGTTTTATAATGTGGTCTTTGCGCCCAAATTCCAGTTTCCAAGCATTTAAATGGCTGTACACGTACAGTTTCCCAGTTTGCTGACTTTGGCATAGCAAGACGACCAGTGGAAAGTATCGACTCTATTCACACTTTAAATAGAGGCCCTGTTAACCAGCACTTACTGCACATAGTAGAAATTTACACAGGATCAGCTTCAGTCTCTCAGTCATCATTTAAATCCTTTAACCTGTCCATCCACCTCCTCCTAGTACTGTATGACACGATGTGTTTTTATTGTGATTTTGTATCCCTGTCCCCTCCACATTCTCTCCCTGTCTATCCTGTCCTGTCAGCCCTTTCCTTCCTGCTCTCCCACTGCAGGCCTAGTCCCTCCTTCCTGTGTTATCCCTTCCATAAACAGATCATAGTCAACACTGTTTGCTGCTGACTGAGCCAAACACACCAAATCAGCTCACAAACTGCCTCTTTTTCCAGCACTGGAACATGGGAAATGCCCCTTCCTTCAAGGTCTTAGACTCTTTGTTAGGATGCTGCTTAGTAGCGGAAAAGAAATGCTGAGTCAAGCAGTGGATAAGATCTGTGCCATACAAGGCAGCAATGATTCAATGTAACTGATCCCCACTGGCGGATTTCTTTGTTGCCCAAAACCTGGGCTACAAGTAGAATTATATACACACTATTCTTACACTTTGTAAGAATAGTGTGTATATAATTCTACTTAGAGCTGTAAGAATAAAACTGATCATTACAGTGATAAATGAAGTGAGCATGTTTTCAGAAAATGTATTAAAGAGCAGAAACTGAAATCTTTCATTTACCAGAGTATTCAGACCCTTGAATCAGTATTTTACAGAAGCCTGTTTGGCAGCAAGCTTCGAGTCTTCTTGGGTAAGTCTCTCCAAGCTTTGCATGCTGGGATTTGGGCAGTTTATCCCTGGCAGCAGATCTTCTCAAGCTCCATCAGACTGGATGGGAAGTGGCTATGAAGTGACAACTTCAGGTCTCTCCACAGATGTTCTGTGGGGTTTACATCTAAGTTTTGTGCCTGACTGGGCTTTCTTCAAGGACCTTTTTGTATTTGGCTGTATTCATTCTTTCTTCATTTGAGATGTTTGTCCTTCAGGCCTCATCTCTGTAAAGGACTTCTGAAGCTCTGTCAGAGTGACTGCTGGGTTCCTGGTCACCTCCCTGACCGAGGCCCTTCTTGTCCCGTTACTCGGTTTGGCCCAACAGTCAATTCTTGGAAGAGTCCTGGGAACACTCAAAACTTTGGAAATGGTTTTGATCCATCTCTAATATAGTTTTATGGTGGAGGTTTGCAGCAAGGTTCTTGGATTTTGCGTCTTGTGTTTTTTGCAGAGCGAAAAGTGAGACCTTATAACACAGACCTTATATCCACTCAGTTCAGTTTGCCACAGACCAGTCAAGTTCTAGACACATCTCAAGAAGAATGAAAGCAAACAGGACACACCTGACCACAGTTTGGAGTGATGCAACAAAAGCTTCTGTAAATGAGTTATTACAAATAAGAAATAAAGTTCAGTTCTGGGTTTGTAACAGATGCAGATATTTAAAAAAGCAATTGTGTCAGAGAACTTTCTGACATCTCTATATGGCTTTGTTAAGCTCCGTTGAAAATGTTAATTTTACGTTTTATGATAAGGCACTTTTCGTAAAGTGCTGATAGCAGCAGTGAAGGTTATGGCTTTTGTATTAAAAAGACAGTACACCTTCACATGAGATACACTGCACCCCATTTACATTTGGTTAGTATTTAACAATTCTGAAAAACACGCCCCCCAAAAAACTGCAATTAAAATAAGAGAAATGACAGAAATCACCAAACTTTTCAAGCCTGTCTTTATAACTGGGTGGATTTCTCACTTACAAACGTATAACATTACCGTGCTAAAGAGAACTATAAAAATAATATCCGTCTTGCAATAGAAAGAGAGTTCACGTTAGTCGTGTGAAAATGAGTTTGTCTGACTGTTTCCTGATCTCTTCCTGATGCGTCTGTCTCCCTGTACTCCTGCAGCTCACACCAGATGTGTGATGAAGGAGTTCAGCAACCTGTACAAGCAGCAGTACGCGGTCGCGCTCTTCAACAGTGTTCGCTTTGAGATAGAAGGAGGAGGAGGGACGCAGTCACAGCTGCTTCACAGAAAGGCAAGTCCACTGTTTGTTGTAAAACAGATGTTCGATCCTGCTCGCTGGATAGAATGATAAAAGACATCAACAAACTGTTTTTCTAACTGTGACTGGAATAACAATAATATATCAAAAATATCTTTGTAATTTATGTAACACATTTGTTGTGACATCTTAAATGCCACACCTAAATTAGATATTAAAAGATAATTCCAACTGGGGTCACACTGTTGTAGGTTTGGCCAATATTTGTATTGATTATGAAAACACTGCACTCAAGCAGCGAGTCATTTCTGAGTTCTGGGAACACAATGTAAATGTCTTTCAATGTTATTATTACCTACAGCAACGATCAGAACATAAGTGCCAAATTGTAAAAAAACCCAATTATTCTTTAAATTTAAACTTCCACTGTATATCAGTACATATCATTGTTAGGGACAAATCCTACTGTCATACAGGATTTGTGTGTTTGCCCTGACGTTATTTACAAATAGAGCAGTGAAAAAGTTGACTAATTATCAATATATGCATAAAAGGTCTTATAGCATCCTCTGTGTACTTTCTGTAACCTTTACAAGATAAGTAGAACAAATTCAGACGGTTATTTGTGTCCAGTGTAAACTGAATGTGGGCTTTGTTTGGCTGACAAAGCTTGATTCTATACAGAATGCATGAATGAGCTCCGGTGCATTATCAGAGACAGAGCCTTCTGTTCCAGCTCTGGTTTTTCATCTTTTTGGTTAGAGAATGTACTGAAGGTCCCACTTTTGTCCATGTTTTTGAATCACTGAGGGGAAAGTGGATCACATTTCACACATGAACAGTCTATATGTGGAAGCAGCTGCTTGTGTGTGCTGACAGAAACCAAACCAACACCATGCAAACACATACACATACTGTATACGCACAATGATAATAATAACATTATCTATAGAGCACCTTTCCAAACACAAAGTGCTTTATACTAAAAACATAGAATAAAATTATTAAAGTAAAGAGCATAAGTTTAAAGCTTAATCAATTTAAACAGTAAAACACATGGTCATGTGATAAAAGTGAGTTTTAAGAAGAGATTTATAAGAGAACACTAGGTTTGTGCTACAGCCCATGGGTTGGCCTTCTGTTCCTAGCAGCAGGGGGTAATCATGCTGACTCAGGTTCCAAGCCAGGGAGCTGCGCCTTCAACAGAGCCGGCTCATTGAGACACATGATTGGCTGAAATGTTGCACTGAGGGAAAGTCCTTACACATTCAGCAGTAACTTTTATTCCTAATTTCACTGAAGAAAGATTTGAAAATTGAATCTCCCACTTGTTTTTCTGGGTTAAAATGGCGCCTACCACCAAAAGCTCCATGATACAAATTAGCACCACCACACTGAAACTCAGTTATGTGTCACTTCTAAGCTGCACCCCCATGATCAAGATGCAGAAGATAAACAATGTATTTTACTCTATGGTGCAGCAGAAACAAAACCGTGCTGACTCAGGAGCACCTCAGCACGCCTCGGCTCGGCAGGGCTGAGCTGTGTTGATGAAGGAACACCTTTAGAATGTGTTAAAAGCAGCAGCGTTTTGTGTCAGCTGTACTCTTTGGATGTTTTGCTTGCTAATACCAGAATAAAGAGTGTTGCAGTAGTTCAGATTTGAGGGGATAAAAGCATGGATTTTCTAGATCAGCTGATGAAAGGAAAGACCTGATCTTGTTTACAGGACTGCACAGCTTTTGTCACCTACTGTCAAAGGAGCAACTAGTCACAGCTTTTGTCACCTACTGTCAAAGGACAATGCGTAATCAAAAGCAACTAGTGATCACAATCACTATTGCTCCTTTGACTGACGATTTAAAAATATCAGACTAAAATATACAATAATACAAAAGTTTGTCAGAAATTTGTAACGTAAATATGACTTTTGCACCAGGAACGCTGTAGTTTAGCCGCTCTATGTTTCTGTGGTGATCCATGTGTTCTTACATAAGTGAACCAAACTTTTAGGTGCAAAACTACATAAATAGCAAGTGAAAACTGTTGAAGGTGATAACAGCCTTGTGAGCAATGTGGGTGAAAATGAATAAAAACCATTTGTATTGTTAGCATGTGGTTTAGTTCATGCAGTACTATGAGTGACCATCACTCTCTTTCTGCTTGACTTTGACGTACAGTAATTATGGGACCCTGTCACTTTACATCCACTCTGCCATCAAACACAAGCACCTCTGCTATTCCAGTGTATTTGATTTTCCAGGACCCTCTGGCTGGTAGGTCAATCTTCTCAGGCAGTCTGTTTCAGTACCTGGAAGAGAATCAGAAGTGGAGGAATCGTTTTGTATCTGTACCAAACAGCTACAATCTACACCTCTATGAGACCAAAATAGTGAGTGAACTTCTTACTTGAATACTTTCCTATTCAGTCATTTGTGCTCCTTTGTCCATCTGCATTAAAACAACTTGCCATCTCTCGAACAGGCACACAATAGGGGACTGCACCCAAAAGTAACCATCGAATGTGCGGGGTACAAGGCCCTGACGTCACTGGAGGAGTACATAGAGCTGATTGATGCCAGCCTGCCAGGTAGGAAAAGAACAGAGACAACACTGAAAATATACATCATGTACAAATGACAAAACATGGGTAACAGGAGCACTCAGAGAGCACGTGTACCTCCGCCAAGACACAACATTCACCCATGCAAATGGGTGGAACAGGAGATCCAGAACAACACAAAAGGTGTTGTAAAATCCTTGATCTGGATCATCTCCTTTTAGGGCATGATAAGCAGTGTTACTGTGCATCTTACATGAACATTTCAGGATTCTATCTTCATTATAGGCCAAGCTATGGCAAAAATATGCATTAAATGGGGGTTTCAATGTTAAATTTAAATGGCTATCAGATCCAGAATCCAGATCAGATCTAGATTTGGTCTGCTGATAGACATTGCCACCTTACATATGTGCTAAATTTCAAAGGATTTTGATAACTTTTGACAGAGATACGATTTTTTAAAAATTTTGTTCCATGTTAAAGATGGGATTTTTGATTTTGTTTTTCTTTTAGTGTGACCTTGACCTTTTTCAGCTGAAATCTAATCACTGCTAGGGTTCTAGAGCCCCCACCAATGTCTGTACCAAGTATGCTGATGATCCATACAGCCATTTGTCCAAATTCTTGCAGGACAACAAACAAACTCACACACACACACACAACCAAAACATGACCTCCTTGGGACAGGTAAAAATGGCTAATAACTCTAACAAAACAAAATGAGTAATAGTTCATCAGATTAAATGCCTAACAGGGGAGCACATTCCAGTGCATTAGACATTAGACTACCTTATGTGTGATTTTGTATTCAGTTACCATATTGTCATCAACTGTGTACTGATGTCGGTAGTATAAGTTGGGTGACTTTTGACCTGTTTATGTTTAACCAAATTATAAGCAGAATCACTTGGCCTTTTCTCTTTGTTTTCCTGCTGCTTCAGCACATTTCTCTCTTGGCCAGATGTATTCATCAGGATCAAATTCAGCTTGTTTTGGTGATGATAATGCTCTGAGTATAGTGTTCCTGCTTTGCTAACACTATTATTTGTCCTTATTGTCTGAGAAGCACTGTCTAGAACATCTGTTTTTGCATTCTGTCATGTGACTTTTAGGTATCAAGGGCAAAGCAGGCAGCGATCCCTTTGTCAGGTCTGTGACCCAGTTCCCCCTCATCCTGTGGCACCCATACGCCCACCACCACTACTTCAGTGTGATGACAGAGAAGGAGCAGAAGAAGTGGCACGCTGTGCTGCAGGACTGTATCAGGCACAGTAACAATGGTAACCAAGCACACACAGTGGTCACAAAGGTCCCTGTTATTGTTAAATTACTGGCATTCAGATTATATATTGAAAACTGTGATGAGTGTAACGTTCACATTGTTAGTAGTTTGATAAATTCAGATATCCAAATATGGCTCCACCCAGGAAAACGAGTGCCTCTCACTGCCTGTTCACTTTTATTTCACGGATCAGACAAGGGTGTGTGTGAGAATGTGTGTCACAATGAGAAGCCTTTACATGCCATATGAGTGAGCTGGGTGATCTGTGAATGTGAGATTGTGCAGGAATGATGCATATTTGTTTTTTTCTGTTTGGACTTGGTTACAAGTGTGACGTGCTGTGATGTGCTGACATCATTCGAGCAGAGCTACAACTGTTGTAAATTCTACAGCCCAAACAGACAATCCGCATTGTTAAAATAGCTGGCAGGAGCTATTTATGCAACAAAAGAAAGAGCCAGACTTTTATTTGAGAAAGCTGATTTGAAGCACAAAGGATGCATCCATGGCCACTACTTTGTACAGTCTCTGAAGTAAGGAAGAGTCAGAACAAAATCATTGGCCTTAGCCTTTAACATCATGACATACAGTATTTAGCTATAGAATGAACTTCAGGTGGTTCAGTTGGGGCTGCTGTGTAAAAGGTGAACTTCATGGAAATCAAGTTATTACAATGTGCACAAAAAGGTTATTTTAAGTTCAAAAGTAACGTACTGTATATAGTAGCTGGGTATATGAGCTCCCTTGAGACACGACAGTCTCATAAAAGGGCATGAATAGTTACAGTCTGTGTGGACCCGTCACAGTTCACAGCACTGTTGTGATTCAGGATGATAAGCCAGCTCTCGTGATCTTGTCCTGAATCTAGAGATCACATCTGCAAGAGGAACAAACTGAAAAAAGGCTGCACAGTGATCTGAGCTCTCAGTTTGTTTGTTGAAGAGCTATAATCACATTATGTTTCGTGTTTTCTAAAGTTTGAGGAGTGCTTCATGTTTACAGTAAATTACAGGTCTTTCTCTTTGCCCTTATTTCCCAGCCTTTGTTTGTTGTCAGTTTTTGAGTGCTGGCATTCATTTATGAATCAGTGGTATCTCTGAGGACACTGTAGTGTGTTTTGCATTTGGCTGCACATTAGAGAACGTTTGTTTTATCTGGGTGGAGCTACTCTTGATCCGCAATGAATGCCTTTTCTTCTGATGGTATGAGTTGTGCCATTGTGGTGAGGTGCTAAAGACATGCCTGAGGATGTTCTAACACCATAACATCCATGTTTGTACTGTTGTCCTAATGTCTGTCTCAGCTAGACAAGACAACTTCCAGCATCATCTTTGGGCTTTGTGCAAAAGAGGGAAAAGCCATAAAAACAACTGGCCTGTTTCCAGACCTTGTTTGGGCGCATGGTGGAAGTTTTAATCAGCAGTTATGTTTAAGCAGTGCAGTGGAGGAAGCCCTTTGCTGCCCTCATTACATTTTTGTGGTTAGGTACATGCATATATGTGTATGTGAGTGTGCAAGCTCACATTCAGTACACTCTGTTTAAACTTGAGACAGAGAGAATAGGAATGAGTGGGAACCTCAGGAATGTGAGATTAAAAATACAAACCTAAAGAGACTCAGTGATAAACAAATGGCTGCTGCAGTGAAGACGAGCAGGCCTGTGTGGATGCGGCTGCCAGGTGGTCGTCACCGACGCTGCTACTCAAACATAAAGCTTCTCTTACAAATTCTGACCATATCAAAAAAACTGACTACATTTATTAAAAACATAGGTAATGCGTACATTTAATGGCAGTATTTGTTCTCCAGTTTTTCTGTTAAAGAATTTTTTTGAATCTAAGATTCACATAATTACATATGATTGTAAATACATTCACATTGTTACCTTTGCTGCAGTGAACACTCTAACTGAACCTGGCCCCTAAATAAGCTCTGTCTACATTGTAAATAAATCTAAAGCTATTATCACTTAAAACTGTATTAGACTCTAATTGTCTTAAGTCCATTCAAACAATTATTTCATTTAACTTTGAGGAAATATCTTAATACCAGCTAAGATATTTTGACAGCAAAGGACTATTTTCAAACACATACAGTATACAACCATGTAGTTTTGCCTGTCTCTGGGTCACACATAATTCTAATGCTGTTTGTGTTGTTCAGGCTTTTAGGCTCCAACAACCTTCTTTAGCTTAGCTAAACTGTGCTTTAAGTGATTGTTCGGACGGATCCTCGTGCACAAAGAGTCACTGCACTGATCAGGTCTGCAGCAGCACATCCCTCCGCACTGATGTCAGTACCTGTACACTATAGATGCTCTAAAAGTTTCCACTTTAAGTTAAAGGCTAAACAACTTTGTATCATGAACAATACTATTAAACCTGATACCATGTGTTGAATAAAACAACACAACACACTGGCTTTAAGCTCATCACCACGCTGACAAAGTTGCTCAACCTGATCCGGCCTTGTTTTTCACTTAGCCAACTACTGTGTTAAACAGCTGTGCTGCAGGAACTCAAAGCATTCTGCTTAACCACACATGACAATGCTAACCACCGTATTAGTCTGAAAACTACTGACGCAAGTTCAGAATCATCAAAAACCATTGGCTTCATTTTGGGTCAGTTCTGGCCAAACCCAGCGCAGGAGAAAGCTGGTGACAATTGGCACCAACTCTAGCCCACAGTGCACATGTTTGTTTGATCATAAAACAAACCATAAAACAAACAGCATGCCTAAACTTGGCCTGTGTTGAGGCGTCCAGTCTCACCTCTGTCATATCAGTGTTTTGAGGAACACCACAACCAGTGAAAATAACCTTTTCATGAAGGTGACAAATGTTTCACAGCCTGCCCCCTGCCCAGTTCCTCTTACTCACTCACTCCCCTCATACACACATTTATGGTACATGTGCTGTACATGCTGACATTGCCAACATCTTTGAGTGTGTTGGAATAAGCCAGTTCTTTCAAATAATATAGCAAATTATTAGTGGAACTTTTAACAGAACGTAACAGAAAGCATCTGAGGCTCAGATCAGGTGATGACTTATGGTGAATCGTGCAAAGCGTGTCAGTAATGGTACATAAAGCACTTCAGTGCCCATAAAGGGAAGCCTGGCAGCCCAGAAGCTTCATGCAAAGCATATCATAGTTGAACACAGTCACTGTTCATCTGGCTTTGATGAGTCAAAACCACAAGTTAAAATGTTCACACTGACACACAATAGATGACACACATCTATTTGAATCCGCTCAAGCTCCTGTTGTTTTATTTTATTGGCTCTGCAGTAAAATGAGCAGCTGCTGCTTTGCATCACCTTAACAGGTCAATTTGCAAAGCATCCAGTTGATCAGATCAGTTGGTCGACCTGTCAGTCTGAACATTTGCAAACCATAGAAGACTAAAAAGCAGCCTCTCGCTGCATTCACAGTCATGAATACAGAATACAGAGAGTCTGTAATGTTTGACACACCAATTCAATGGAGGAAAACCTGAATGTTAATCAAAATCAGCTTTATGTTATATCTTTATGTACAATGTTCATTTATAAGGTAACGAGTAAACAAAATAAGACAGAGAACAAGAAAAGAAAAAGAATGAGCAAACAAGAAAAAGGAATGTGCATTAGGAAAATAAAAAATAAAGTACTTATAAAATATATATTCATACACACAGTTTGAGTTCATTTTTCCAGATAGATGTATACAAAGTATATTTACACTGAGGGTTGCCGTTCTGTTACAGAACAAATACGGTTATTGGTTCAATGTTCATCAGGGTGATGACATGGGGGAAGACACTGTCCTTGTGTCTGGCTGTTTTGGCGTACAGTGAGCTGTAGCACCGTCCAGAGGGGAGAAGTTCAAGTCATTTTTCAAACAAAGTTGACAAATATTTGCTAGTTCCAGTTTATAAATGTAAAATGTTGCTTTTTTTTTGGTCATTCTTAATTTAATATCTTTTGGTTTTAAATTGTTGGTTGAGCAAAGCAAGCAAGATGAGAACACCTTTTTTTTTTTTTGTTGGGCCACTGGAGTACCATCAATCACGGCCGACTCTCCACCCCCACAGTCACCAACTCTGTGCTCTGATCCACAGACCTCAGACTAAGTCCACCCAGCAAGTAGAGGCCTGTGATGAGCACATTCAAGGGATGATAATAGTGCATTTCAGCCCAGGTTTATGGCTTGTGTGCTTCTCTGCATGCTTTATGCAAACATTATACAGTATATATCCATTACCAGAAGAAACAATTACAGGGTTTTCAACATTGGCTTTTCTGCTGCGAGTGATCTGTGAAAATCACGTTAGTGCTTATTCAGTTGTGTTTGTGTAGCTGACTGTATGTTTAAGTGTTTGTTTACTGTACAGTGGGTTTGGCTGGCCCAACAGGGCTTAATTACTCCTGCATGTCACTGGGAGCAGCTGCAGTGTGTGTGTTTAAAACCTGCTTTAACATGAGGGCAGGTGGCATCAAGCTGAAGTCTCATCAGACTATATTCCAAACTATTAATGGATTTTAAAATATATATGTGGATGTGAAGGCCTGGTAACTGGTCTAATGAGAGCACGCTGCACTGGGCAAGGAGGGAAATGCCTCAAATAAATAGACCATGGTAAGTGTTACCACATGTGCTATTTATACACAGTGGAGAGAAACTGTAATCTGCTCCTTGATCGAGCTCGGTTCAGACACATGGAGAATGTGTTGTGGTTTATGAGCATGGCAAATTGTCAAAAAATGATTTTTTCTTTTTAGCACCATTCTACTCAAATGTGCAAGTAACTGAGGTTGTAGAAGAATTTACGTTCACACTGGTGATCGGACCCTAACGTACGCCTTCAGAGATTTCAAATCACCAATTCTTCCTAAGAGACGTTTTCTGCTATATATCTGCTAAGTTTTAGAAAGAGTGAAATACACCCTCCAATAAATCAGACAGATTTGGATTGTAGAGAGTAAAAACCAAACAGCAGCCAGTAATGCTGCAGCCCACTGATTCTCACTTAGCAGTCTTTCCTCTTGCCTTCCTGTCACACCCACAACAGGAGTCAGCGGTCCATCGCATTGCCTGTACTGTGTTCCTCTTACAGTTGCAACTAGCTAGCCAACATGAATAAAATACAAATATATCAAAAGTTTGAGTCTGTTTTAAGAGGTAAGGGGATAAATGTACATGTCCTATTATGTTGAAATGTCCAACAGCCCACAGTGCAAAAATAAATTAATAAAAAGGTTGGCAACCTCTTGTTATTGCAGGTTTGCTTGAATGAGAAAAAGCTCTGGTGATTGCTGTTTGTGCTTACTACCTCAGCACCGCACAATCCCCCAATCCCAGTGTCCACACTCACACACTTTAAGGTGTGTTCCTGC